GTACTAGCTCTAGAATGACTCACGACATAGTCAGACTCATGATTTTCAAGGCTTTTGAACTTGCTTAACTGTAGTATCAGAATCTGAGTCAATATTTTGAGGCCTAGATATATACAAGACATTCTACATAAGTCTTATGCAGGTAGAAATCTGTGAAACACATTGTGAATACCTAAGGTTTCCTTCTTACACATCAAATTGTTTCTATGAAAGCTCAAGTTGTGAATTTAAATCAGTTGGCTGTATGCTTTCTTATTTAAAATGGATTCTGTGAATTAAGTAAAATATACTGAAAAGTCTTAATAAGATGATTTACTAAGGTTCTATCTACTTTCTTCCTTTAGCATAATAAGGCTATTAATTTCATTTCTAAATCTTTGTCACCAGAGTATAAATAAAAGGAAAAGAACAGTTCTATATTCACATGTTCTATTATAAATATATTATTCAACAATTTCATAAATGTATTATGATTATATTCAACCATATTGCCATCTTTTACATATCTCCAACTCTGCATGGCCCACTTCTTTTTCCCAAGTGGTCTTCCCTTACTACTTTCACATTTTGTATGTGTGTAAAAACCCAGTGAATTTCATCAGAGTTGCCTGTGTGAGTCTACTGTGTGAGCCTGCACATTACCAGTGTACACACTACTGAATAAAGTCATTCTCTCTCCTCCAGCAACCACTAACCACCAAAGTTCCCAGTTGGGGATGGGATCCCATGAGTACAGATATCCTCAAATGTTGATGGGTTGTAGATCTCACTTCTCCCCATCCTCCCACGCTTACATTCTTGATACTCCTTCTTCCACAATGTTCCCTGAGCCTTGGATAGAGAACAGGATGATACGGATGTACCCTTTAAGTACACATACACAGTGCCCACAGAACCTAGAAAATGGCATCAGAAATTTTGGGACTAGAGTCACAAATGCTCGTGAGCTCCATGTGGGTCCTTGAAATAAAACACAGATCCTCTTCAAAGACAATGAGTGATTTTAACTGCTGAGCCATCTCTCAGTTCCCACAGGGGACTGCTTAGTCTTTCAAAAGTAGGTTGTTCAGTTAAACAAAACAAAACAAAACACCTGTTTCTCTTAGCACAATAGGTAGTTTTCTAGCTACCTTAAACAGACTTTTAAAGCAGTATTTTAACCTGTTTATTTTTTGTATTTGCTCGTTTTTGTTCCTTGAGCTTGTATTATACCTCCCAGCAAATCATTCATATGACATTAAATCTCTCGAGACCCATATCAAGTGACATACTGTAATCACTATGACCCCCAAAATAGCTGTTGTCATATGGAAAAGAAGTTTCCCCAGGCAACAACTCCCTCCAATACTGGGGATCCAATTATTCATATCTTAGTGAAGAAAACACTTTCATCACAAGGGAGAACTATCATTATTGAACACATTGAAGATCTTTATTTAGATAACAAGATATTGCAAAGAATTTCCTAAAATAGAGAAATACATAACCTTATTGGTGTAAGGACAAGGAACATAATTAAGTTGGAATGGCCTATTTTATTACTTACACACACACACACACACACACACACACACACACACACACACACACACACCTAGAAAACAGATCCTTGATAAAAACAGGTCTCATATAATACACTGAAAATTACTAAGTTAAATTTTCTTTTTAAAAGATTTATTTGTGTGTGTGTGTGTGTATATGTACAGTAGCACACAAGGTGTGTGTGTGTGTGTGTGTGTGTGTGTGTGTGTGTGTGTGTGTGCGCGCGCGCGCGCGCGCGCGCGCGCACATGCATGCATGCCCCTCTGAGGTTAGATCTCTGGGAGCTGCAGTTACAGTTGATCATGAGTCAAACAAAGTGTGTTATAATAACCGAGCTTAGGGCCTCTGAAAGAGCAGTAAGTGCTCTTAACCACTGAACCAACTTGCCAGCCTCTCAAATTATTCCTGCATGTCCTGAAATGAAGTTTATTCTTCCAAAGGTTTTGGCTACATCATTATGCAATATAGGTTCTCGTTATAACTGATGCCAGGTCGTATAATGAAAAATGTATCAATTGGATATAGGATGGCAAACTCTCTAAAAGTACAGAATAGTGAATCAGACTATGTACAGATTCTGTTGCTTCTGCCTACTACAGGGATTTGTAGCAAACTTTTATGCAGTTTGAATATTAGTGTCTTTATTTACATTATATCATGATATATCAATTATGCTTATACTAAAGGTTGTTAAGAGGATTGGGTAAATTAATTCATGACTGAAATACCGCACAGTTAACCAACACTACTATGATTATTATAATTTAATTTTATTATAAAGCAAATAATTTGCATATCATATTTTATGTTATCTTAGTTGTTGGTTGGTTACTTTTACAATTATTAATTATGGAAAATCATTATCTCCACAAAAATATTAAAAATTCAAACTGTATTTAGTTGAAATCAATGGAGTATTTTAACTGTGGCATATGAGAAAGATTTTGTACTGGGTTTTTATCAAAGTCTCTTTCCCAAAAGATGGGAATGATGACAGGCCCCTTGTCCACCAACCTGGGCTAGAGAAATAGCTTCAGCTAGGACATAGCCTGGGTTCACAGTGCCAAAAGATGGAAGAAGTGAAACCAAATTTGTATGCAAAGACTTCAAGCCACACAAGGGATGCCCAGAAGCCAACCATCCACAAAACCAGAATAAGAAAATGCAGCAAGGTCCTTCAATACTTATTGTTACAAATACTGTTCCCCACAGCAACTTCACAAATTCTGAATCCTGAACAAGTGAACCATGTTTAAAATGCTTGTGGTTGGATTTGTGGTAGCTGCCTTGTTTTCATTGTTACAATAGTGATAGATTGCACTAAATGTGCTAGAATTGTTTCTAGGCCAAAATTCATATCCAAGAGACATAATCTATCTTTAGAGAAGAATATATTACAATTATATTCCGATTCAAAATAAGCAATAATTAAAAACATCACCCATAGTAGCAAAAGATAAAACAAACAAAAATGCTCTGATAATAGTATATGCATGAGAGAACAATCATGTGGTAAAATTTGCAACAGAAAGGAAGAATTAGATTCTGTGGTTGGCTGTACATCTAGTGATATTTAGATTATTCAAAGATATTACTTAGGGGGAAAGTAAACAAAAATAACAGAACAAATGTCAAATCAGTAAAATTGAGTTGTATCTGAAATGAGTCATCTCTAGAAATGGTCTCTTTTTGTATTTGTTTTCCTAGACAAGTTGTAAGAAATTCTATCTTGATCTTTCTCACAGCATGTTGCATATTCATCTTTGCAGCAGTATGCAATTTGCATAATGTAATACCCAGTTCTTGGCTTTGGAATACCCTTGGGTGAGATTAAATAAGAGGGACTTTGATGCTACATTTCAGTTCCCTTTGACAGAGTTTCCAGATTTGCCAGAAAAATAGGCTGAAGAGAATGTTTATTGCAAGTGATATGTGTATAGATTCATATATTATTGATACATAAATATATGATGATATTATAACTGAATATTACAGTTTTCTGGTAATACTGTTTAACAACAATCATTCTAAGAATTTATAAGAAAAGGGAAAGCAAACTAAAAGAAGAATGTATTTTAAGACTTTACAATTTAATCTACTGATTTTGCTAAAAAGAGTAGTGGAAAGAAGCACTTGTGATCAAGTATGTAATTCTTTGGCTAGCAATGGAAAGAGATTCTAACTGTATTACAGTGCATGAGCACAGCATATCTGGTGGAAAATAAGTTAATAAAAAAAGAATTCAGTGGAGGCTGTGTAGAAGAAAAACTGGTCCACTTCTAATAAATATCAACAAAAACCCCCAGAAATTCATGCCTAAATTTGTGTGAGATACATACTTCATTATTAAATTTTTTCTACTAAAATATTTCCATTTTTCAAATTCCAATTAAAACAAATATATTAGTCACTCTATATCCACTGGTTTAGTATATATACCTTCAAAGAAGTCTATCATAGCTTTATAAAAACTGTGTCTGGAATGTACACATATAGACTTTTTCATGTGATTATTCCCTAAGCAATACATAAAACAACAATATCATTATTATTCACATCATATAAGTATCATCAAAACTGTAGATATGGTATACACGAGGAAATTTAGTCAACAAGATGCCTTTGAGTTCCCAGACTGTGGTATCCACAGAGAATCTTGGAAGCACTGCCTACAGAGACTGAGGGGTGACTATGCTCCTTTCTCTTTCAAAACTCATATTGTTTCCTTTTTAGAAATACAAGATTTTGGATTCCAAGTGTAAATGAGAGTATATACTATATTTGGAAATGAAAAAAAATTATTGAAACAGAGACCATACCACTGTTTTCCAGCAGTGATGGAGAAAGAGGAGACACCAATCAAGGAGAAATAAGTCATAGTAGTCACTGCATGTATGATGAGCACAGTAAATACTTTGCATATTTCAAAATAGAAAACATATTTTAACATCTTTTTAATTAAAAAAAACTATGCTAGTGAGCTGACAGGCATATTAATAACCTTGACTTAATCTCCAGGTATAAAAAGGTTGACACAGCATATTGACCCAGATAAGCATTCAGTTATTAAACTGAGTAGAAATAAATTAGTGAGAGAAAACATATATATCAATGGCACCTCTTTTGAAAGTCTTCAAAGCAAGTGCATTGATAAACAGAAATAAAATGATCATACTAACAGCAACTACTTGATTCTTTTTATGAACTAGGTCATCTATTAAAATACGGCAAACATATTTCAAGATGTAAGATTACTATTCCTTCAGATGTGCTCTTGTCACCAAACACTGATGAATACATAAATAATTCATAAGCAGTTCCTGCAACAGCACTATGAGAACCAAATCCCAAAGTCAAAGTGGCAGAGTCCATGCACACACATCTTTGACTTCTATTGCTGATTTTGCTATTTCACCAACAACATACTGAGGGCCAATGTCATTGACTTTGTCACTTACTGATGGGTAGAGGTAACCTTCTCCATTCATGGCTATGTACAACCCTGTCTTCACTCCCTGGATGGCAACGACACGCAGTCCCACTGGGATGAGGTTGAACAATGCTGTTGAAGACAAAGTTTGATCTGTCACCAAGCAGTAGAAAAAGCAAATCATTTCCATAACACTTCCCCTTCTCCTTCTGTTATTTAAGAAGCACCACATGTATTTCTATTTTCCAAGTTTCAACTAAAGAAATGTTGTTTCTGTTTATCATAAAGAAGCTACTGCCATATAGAAAAATGAGCATCCCAGCTTCACCTTCTCCTTAGAAGGTTTCCCCACACCATTCTGAAGCATTGGAAGACAGATGAGAGTCAAGACTGTAATGATGCTTCTACTGTCAAAGACTCTGATCCTATTAAGTTCCAGAAAAAAATCATCTATGGGCATTCTCAAGGAGCAGAATTTTAAAAGTGCAACTTGACAGTTGACTGTCATTTTCTGTACTGTGGGACTAGGCATTGCAGTGCAGTGTAGGCCAGCAGTTCAGAAGTGATTCCCAAACTAAATTACTTTGGCAGGAGCAACATGAAATGCCAGAAAAAAAAAAAAAGAAAAGATGCTCAGCTGCCCATGAGATAAACTTAGAAGGTAATAATAAAATCAAATAGCTTGCAAATTTTCAAGAAAGAATTTTATTTATTGATGTTTTATAAATTTATAAATAAAACTATTTAATATAAATAACAAATGACCATGATCTCTGTGAGTTCGAGGCCAGCCTGGTCTCCAGAGCAAATGCCAGGATAGGCTCCAAATCTACACAGAGAAACCCTGTCTCGAAAAACAAAAAACAAAACAAAACAAAATATGTTTCTATTTTTTCTTCCCTTCTAATACACTATACACTATATTTTCAAAAAGTGTACTCATATCATCTTGGATATTATCAACCATAATATCTCTGCTACACATAGGCTATTTAGTGGGTCTTCCAGCAATAATTTTAGTATAAGTGGTATTAACAAGAACACTATTAGTTAATTATCTGCTCTTTCTCAAGCCCTTAACTTGAATTTACTTCTGAGCAATGGGAATTGTCATGGGAAACACTTAGCTTTTGACATGAATGGGTAAGTAAAATGTCTTAACTTTAGGCCTTCAACTCTTTTACAGAACACATGTCACTTGATTTATTCTAAAGGCTATTCAGTACATGATTACAAACTAACACTGCAGCAAGTGTTGTTCTGGTTTTCTTCTTAGGGGCATGCTATGCAGAATGGAGAAAGGTACATCCTCTTTTGCAATAATTAAAATTCATGTTCCCCAGATTAACATATCTACACCCCATTAATGATGAAAGGAAAACAGTAGGCCATGGTCTTGATAATTACACAGGGATTAATTTGAGGGCTAATGTGTGACTGAATAGTTGAGTATTATTGTCACTATGTAAAGTAACAGTGAACTGTCCTCTGAAGGATTTTGGAGGATTATAACATACAGAAAAAGTAAAAGGTTGTACTCCTTTTTATTCTGGTTATTTAATATTGAGTATGATATGGTGTCCTTGGGTACTAGGTTTTGTCATGGAAATTCTTTGGGTGTCTTCTTTGTGTGTGAAAGCTATGTTCACTCATATCTTTGTTAACTGTAGGATAAGCCCTAATTTCTGTGCATAATTTTAAGGTAAAATATAATTTGATGTCTGTCTATTTAACTACACAACCTGATAATTTCAAACCTATTTATTTTAATCTCTATGTCCTCCTTTTTAAAAAATGTATTGTGGCTTCTGAACATAAGGGAATTTTCTAAGGAGCTCCTCAAATAAGTCTAGACTGTGCTCAATGCAAGAATGGCCATCCTAAAACCTCTGGGGTGGTGTGACAACATTTGCATATTTCAGACAACCAGATCAAGATCTAACTGTATATGTACACAATGTATACCTCACACCCCACACCTTTCCAAAAAAAAGGAGAAAGCAGTCCAGTCTTTCCTTCGGTTGCACCTTTTCTTTTTTCTTCCTTAAAACTTTGGTCATGATTTGTGCAGATGATACCATGCAATATCTAATCTTATAAAAGAGGCATTTTATTTTTAAGACCTCTGCCAATCTTTGTTTTCTTTGTTTCCTGTGAATGAATTATTTTCCCAAATAATAATAAAGATATAAATAAATCAAAGAACAACAATCTAGGGGACATTTTCAATATAAAAAATGGAAAATAAATTAGAGAAGATTCATATTTCAAAAAAGAAAAGGAAGATTAACAAGTAAAAAATACACACACACACACACACACACACACACACACACACACAACTTCAGTTCACTTCATATAAAAGGAAACACAAAAATACTAATATTTCACATAGAAGCATCATATGTAAAACAACATATTCCACATCATTAATTGTTCCCAGAGTTTGTGCCTGAGAACTTGATGAGTCAGACTAAAACAAGAAGGGCTAACAATTCCATTACATGTTTCATGTCTTCTTTTCTTTGACTGGATTATAATTTATTATAAAGAGAAGTGGTAACTGGATAGGCAGTCATCTTTGCTGATGACCTAAGAGTTTTATGTCATGTATCAGTTTTTGCATTTTACCAAGCCCAGCAGTAAAAGGTGTGTGTGTGTGTGTGTGTGTGTGTGTGTGTGTGTGTGTGTGTGTGTGTGTGTGTGTGTTAGAACTCATGTGAAATTAGAGGAAATCAAAGGCTGGAGTATAAATGAAAGAGAAAACCGTTTAAAAAAAAAAGAAAAGGAGGATCTCAGACAAACCCCATGAAAAATGTAAATAAGTTCAATATAAAAATTAGCAAGTGAAAGACAAATATCAATATCACAAAAGATACATAAATTTTAAATTAATGAACACAGATGCTATTGAATAAGGTAATTAAATGTTGTGTACAATGTATTTATGCTATTTATGTGTACGTGTACATAGACTTATTATCCTCTCTATGAGAAGGACATTAACTTTTTTTTCCAATTATTATATACCATTATTATACAATGCATTAGTGTGTCTGTTATGATCAGGAGACAGAAAGTAATGTTCTGGATATAACCACGGTGTGAGCAAAAGAAAATATTCTCAGTTTAACACCACAGGTGCCTTCTTCTACATTAATACCTTCACACATGTGATCTCTGTGGTGATATGTTGTTTATGATTTATTAAAGCCACTGGAGATCAAAATAGCAAAGCAGCCATACTAGGTTAGCTATAGAAGCAAGGCAGTGGTGTGGTGGTACAACCCTTTAATCCCACCACTTCGGAGGTAGAGGTCAGCGGATCTCTATTAGTTCAAGGCCACACTGAGCTAAACAAAATTGATCCAGTTCTAAAAAGAAACAGCTCACACAAAGCTGATCTCAGCACCTGGGATCACACACCTTTAATCCCAGCATTAGGGATGTGAAGACAAGAGTAATATGGCTGGGAAGAGAAATGAATAAAAGGAGAAGGAGACAGGAACTCAGAGCTTTTTCCTCTGATGATTCACAGAGACAGATTGCCATTTCAGCTTGATAGAGGTAAGATCTACTGGCTTGGCTGCTTTGCTTTTCTGATATTCAGCTTGAAGTTTGAACCCCATTATCAGTCTCTGGGTCTTTTGTTTTTCATGTTACAGGTCTCAGTGAAATGATACGTGCATTCTAGTAGGCAACTAGAAACAAACCAACAGAACCAAGCACTTAACAAATGTATCTCACAAAGCCATTTGGGTAGAAGATTCAGTCGGTCACTTACTGGAATTGGTGCTGTCATCCTTGGTTCCATCGAGAGCTCCATCGGGGTGCATCTGCAAGTAGTACCCTTGCCTGCAGTATAACCTGGTCACTATGCCCTTGAGCTGGGGATCTGAAAGGCAAACACAGGGATCATCAACTTTAAAATGCTGCAAAAGAGAGTTGTTTTCCCTCTCTTTAAAAAAACCCAATATTTCTTTTTCAGAAGACCTTTTGTAGAGGTTGTACATTTATCTCTCTCAGACTTATTTGTGTCATGAACCACCACAATTAAAGGAGATATCATAATAATCTTCAGAAAATGGGCCATTTGATGAAATTAGTGTGTGTGTTTACTTTATTCATTAGACTGCTAAGCTAATTAAATCACTAGTTACTTATGACTTTAGTCTATAATTATTATAACTAATTCTGTCATTCAGAGTGGCAATTCAAGAGTTTTGACTCAGAAACTTTGTTAAAAGGTTTTAAATAGTTTTCATTTTTCTTAAATTGACAGCCTTTAAATGTGAGAAAACTATATTTTAAAATTATTTTAAAATGTGATGCACATCTTTAGTAAAATGCTCAGTTTGGACCCCCAACCCCAATTTGCATGGAAGAATCTGTGGTGTTTATATATGATACACATGAGAGTCCTAAATTCTACTTCTGAACTCAGAGTTACACTTAGGATGAAAAAATACAGGAGGGGTAGACTAGACTCAGAGCTGCGATGGGTGCTTTGCTTGTGCAGCACTCTGCAACAAACCAAAATAATAAAACAAATGATACACTAATTTCCATAGCAGTCAGATCTAGGACAATGTCCTGGTTAAGTTGTAAATGGAACAAGCAAGATCTTCATTTATACAACTGAAAAGGACAACCAATAGCCTCTGATTCTTGCACTTCAGGCATGGAGGGAAGTGGGAGTTTACTGTACCAAAAAGGGGAACCCATGTTTTGTGGATTTCTCATTTAATGCATGAGAAGAGATAATTCAGTGTTTCACCAGAAGCTAGCTGTGTTTAAGATAATAGATATTTGCATGTGGCTTTGCAAAGGCCAACCTTGTTTGGGGAATTTATCTGATATGTGACATCATAAATCTCACCATGGCAACAGGCTTCTCTCCATAACAGCTGAATGGGATATGCAAATTTGATTGTTCATCCTAATTACAGGATGCTACTGAACAATCCAACACATAGTCTTTAATAACTACAGACTAGCCAACAGACAAACAGAACAGCACATAGGCCAAACAGGCAGATTTGTCCCCAAACAGAAACTCTGGGCTTTTGATTAGCACTATTTTTTCTTTTTGATTAGCTTTTGAGAAATGGGAAAAAAATCCAATGACTGTTTCTATGAATACAGCTGCACTGAGCATTTTGGCTTCATAGCTAAGAGGATGAATTGGACACAAATAACATTCTGGAAAGTGAGCCAACATTGAGGTATCATAACATCAGTGTGACAAGCATGTCAGGAGACAGATGTGCTTAAAAGTCTAGGATCATAAAAAGAGATATCTAAATGATTATTAAGGGAGTATTGTATATACCCTCTTTTATAACAAATAATTTCTAAACCCCATAATTCTCTGTCTCTCTCTATGTATCTCTATGTGTCTCTGTCTCTCTGTCTCTCTCCCTCTCCTTCTCTCTCAACTGATAACTATGTGACCTTAGAAAACTCTGATTCATTCATTGAATCTTCATTACAAGTGAAGGAAGTGAATTCAAAGATGAGGAAATTGAGAAATAGAACAATTAAGTAATTTTAAATGGGCACAGAATTTACAAGGCTCAACGTTGAGAATGAACATTCAGTCTTCCCTATAAAGGCTATGTGCCCTCTACAAATGGAACAATTAAACTAAATTGCTTTACAAATACCAGTGTAAGTCAAACGGCTTAATAAAAAAAAAAAAATCAAGGAAGTAAACAAAAGTGGTACCATTTCTGTGATCACTACCAGCTGTGTATCAGTCCTACATAGTCACAGGTGAATGTGAAAGACAAGGCTAGAATGCAGCTGTGAGAGTATCAAAGTCCTTGATCCCACCCCAAAGCTGGACAAGTTCCCAAGTTCCTAGTTTCTGCCCCATCCTCATGAATCCCTTACCAGGTTTGTAAACGAAGCACCACACATTTGTGGCTCCATCTGTACCATTTATGCTGTAATTTTCCTATTTTCAACTCCAGCCAAAAGGAGTTTCTACTCATGGCTTGACTATAATGTGAATGTCATCAGCCCCACACCACCAGGCTTGTTTTCATAATCCACCCACTGAGCTGTCTGCCTATTAAGTGTGCTTCCTCACTGCAGACCCCGTCCTCCCCTAATGCCTAACCAACAACATGAGATTTCTTAGCAAGTACTGTACCAATAAAGACATCTCTTGAGATCTTTGTCATTATTTTTTCAACATTTGTTAATAGAAATTTTAAAACTCTTTAATTAAAATTTTTAAAAGGAAATATTTTTGAAATAGAAATTACTCACTTTTGAGCATTAAAATATATAGAAACAATTCAAGCCATATCTATGTATCAAACAGTCATTTAAAAAGATGCTAGTTATTTCTTTTTTAATTTGTGATCATAATTCCAAATTTATCGATAAAATTGTATGATTGACTATATGTGACATAAAGAAAGTTGAAGTGTATGGCATTGCTAATGAGATCTAAAGTGAGTGTTGGTTAAATACCAACAAGGGGCTAGCAAAACATCCAGTAACTTCACAGATCGCTAATAGGAACAGTATGAAAACCCACAATGATAATGGCTAGCAAATTTTTAGATGGGTCCCCACCTGTTGCTCATGTAGTTATGCTTTCCAGATCTCTAAATTCAAGACATACTCTAACATAAAGGCTTAAGAGGAAACATGTCAAAATAAAACTTAGCACCTAATAGGGAAAAATTAGAGAAAAGAAAATAAACCAAAATATTAAATATACTGAATTTTGAGGGTATTTATCAACATTTTTATTCTTTGCTAAATTTTGTACAATAAAAACTTGTCAATTTTATAATGAAATATAGAGATTGCAGTTCACCATCTATTAATGGTGAACAAGTAAGAATAATAATTCATACACATTTGCAATTAAAATTACAATCACATATACCCCAAAATATAAATACTCCCACTGAGTGGTAAATGGTGCAAATATTTAAAGTCAGCTGATGATTTTGCACAGTTACAGATACACAGAATGTTCCTTATTACCCTTTGTTCATTTCATTACTTATAAAATAATCCATAGCTGATATGGTAGCTTAAAGTTTAATGTAATGTCCATCTTTCAAACAATCACAATCCAAAACAGAGCACAACTTTCCCTCTAAGGCCAAAATCAATGATCATAGCAAGACAAGGCAAAGATGAAGAAAACAGTCTTATCAGTCATGCCCCGTGAAGCAAAGCCTGAGTTCCTAGATTGACTATGAGAATAAAAATAAGAACCTTCACTCTAGCTGCAACAAATCTTGGTCTAGCAACTGCTGGATCACTCACCTATGTGATGTTTCATGTTGGAACAAGAGGAACAATTGTCAAAACTAAATCAAGAAAACCCTACACAGTTTCCAGTGAGGACAGGACCCATCAGGCAGTCATAATAAAAGTATACCTCTATGAAGTGATGGTGTGCAAAGCAGGTTGCCTAAGAGTGTACAAAGGCACAATGGCAAACTCTTTGATTTTTTATTATTTCCAAAAATGAAAACTAAATTAGGATTTATTAATCATTTAATATGTAGATTCCTATTGATAGCTCTAGGCAGCTACTTGCCACATCAGGTCTTTAGGAGCCTAAAGCAGTTGGGCAGACACATCTTGTGATTCTGAAGGGCTGTCCTGGGGACACTGGCTCTCAACTAGTTGTTTCTAATGAATACTTCACCATTCTTTGAAATGTATGTGTTCTCAGTGAGGCAGATTTACATATTACAGCATGCATTTTAACTGACACTAGGATAATTTAGCGTGGAAATACATGGATACAATGTGGATTGAAACTAGAAACATAAAATTAGCAATGTCACATATCAAACATTTAGTTAAGACAAAATTCCCCATCTAGGGATTACGGGTTTAAAATAAAAATTTTAAAAACTGAAAAATAAGCTATCTGCTCAAATCTAGCATGCACTCAGCCAAAAGTTTGAAAATGTTAAGACAATTGACATATATTTATTATGATAACAAATGCTTAACCTAAATAAATATTATGTCCTGACATACAAAACAATGCAAATTTCCTGAGTGTGAAACAAACATATTTGTACAGGTGCTCACATTTTCATTAAGCTGATGAGGTAAGCAGTTGTATGACATTTCTCTAGCATTTTACACTTAAGCCCATAAGAACAAAGATTTTTGTTCATGTAAAAAAACTCAAAATATTTTCACTTCACAAAATTGTTAGAGTTTTGTTCTCTAACAACCACCACAACCTCAGAATATCTAGTTTGTTTAAGAAAATATAGATAATTTAGTTCTTTCTTTTTGTCTCGGTTCTTCTATTCTTCTGCTTTTTTCATTACTTTTCTGCCTACTCTGCCTGTCCAGTTAACTAAAAAGGTTTTGAAGATAGCCTTTGCACAGGACTCTGAACATTAATTAAAATAGAAATAACAGCACCTAATGTTTGTCTATATCAAGAAAAAATGTTTCATAACGCATTTCCTTCAACACATACAATTGAAAGGTATACAAATAACTCTAAATGCCTAAAGATAGAGAGAACAATACCCAATGTTTTTAATTAGAACAATTAATCTTTCAGAAGTGGCTTCATTTAAATCAATCACTGTCATAAACTTTCTTGCAATATGCAGATTGACAAAGGAGTATCTGGGACAAACCATGAAATGATATGCATGCTTTTAATTACTGTTCATCATGGAAAATGCACACTATGGTGTATATTTTTACAGAAAATACACTGATGTGTCACCTCATATATTCTATGCTGATGTGTGATACATCTGCTTCTCATTGGATACCAGAGGAAGCTCTTAAACATGACCCTTCCTTGGCTATAAAAACAGTCACGTATTTTTTTCACAGGCTAAAATCAATTTCTAGAATATGTATATGGGTAAATGTGGCAGATCTAATTAGATTTTGACACTCCTAGTAGCAGAAAATAATATTGTGAATCTCTTGCCCAAAGCTATAAATTATCATATAACCCACTAAAAAAATAAACCATGTTCTGAATACTTCCAGAGTGCTGAGGAAAAAGGCAGGTAAAGGCACTAAGGACAATGAGAACTTCAAGTAAAGCCATGCAAAATTTTATAGATGCTTCCAATT